AGGATGGGGAACCTCATAATTGCCTCCACGTGGTGGATTTGATCTCCACGCCTCGTCCTGACCTCTCTGATATTCCATTGCAGAATCCTGACCTCCAATTATTTTGTGATGGTTCCGCCTGTCGGGACGAGTTTGGGGCCTTACGAGTTGGCTATGCAATTGTTACCCTGATGGCAACGCTTGAAGCGCATGCCTTACCTACACAAAAGTCAGCGCAAGCAGCAGAACTCGTGGCGCTTGTTAGGGCCTGTCAATTAGCCGAAAACAAAACTGTGGCCATCTATACTGACTCCAAATATGCCTTTTCGGTATGCCACTCTACTGGACAACTTTGGAAGCATCGTGGGTTCCTTACCTCCAGTGGCTCTCAGATCTCCCATGTTGCCTTGATTTCTGCCCTGTTAGAGGCTATTCAACTTCCTGCAGCTGTTTCGGTTACACACTGTAAGGGCCACTCCCGCGCCTCGGACGAGGTTTCCAAGGGAAATGCTGCAGCTGATTCGGCGGCCCGTCATGCTGCCCTCTGTGGGGCTCCAGCCCCTTTTCCTTTTTTGGCACCCCTGCTACTGCAACCAGTGACGCCAGCCGTTTTGCTCTCTGCCCAGCAGACGACGCCCCCGGCCGAAGTTAGCCGTTGGAAATCCATTGGATGCCACCTAAATGAGGACAACCTCTACATCAGCCCGGACGGTCGTCCGGTTCTCCCAAGACAACTCCTCCCTCAGGTTTCCCAGGCACTCCACCTGGCCTCGCACCTGGGAAAGGGGGGATTAGTGGCTCAAATGGAGAAGTTGTTTTTTGCTCCGGGGGTCCATGCAGCTGCGAAGACCGTCACTGCACAGTGTGAATTGTGTCAACGGTACAATCACCAAGGAGCAGTCAAACCACAAGCTATGGGACATTGCAAACTGCCTGAGTACCCATTTGCTGTGGTCCAGATGGACTTCATGGACTTACCACCAGTGACAGGACTAAAACACTTGCTTGTCCTGGTTGATCTTTTTTCAGGGTGGGTTGAGGCTTTCCCCACTCGAAGGGCAGATGCAGTATCCGTAGCAAAGTGTCTCCTCAAGGAGATAGTGCCCCGCTTCGGGATAATGACTCGTTTGGAAAGTGACCAAGGCCCCCATTTCACTTCCCAAATTATTCAACACTTAGCAAAGGCCCTCGGCATAAAACAAGCCTTGCATACCCCCTATCATCCACAAAGTTCAGGAAAAGTAGAAAGGGTGAATGGGCTGATAAAAACCCAATTGGCAAAGCTATGCGAGCAGACTGGATTAAAGTGGCCTGAAGTGTTACCCATAGTGTTAACCAATCTTCGTAATACACCCCATAGGAAGCATTCGTTGACACCATTCGAAATTCTATTTGGCCGACCCTTGCCGATTCCTCTAACCAGTGTAGACGGGTTTGCCCCAGCAAAAACTTCATTAATGGCTGGGCAAGATAAGTTGGCGGGTTATTGTCGCATGTTGCAAGATGCCTTGAGTGATGCATGGTCCAGAGTAAAAGATGCCCAACCTTTACCGCTTGATACTTGTGCGCACTCTCTTTTTCCAGGAGACTTTGTCTGTGTTAAAATCCATCGAAGGAAGCATTGCCTGGAACCAAGGTGGTCGGCCCCGGCCCAAGTCCTTCTGACTACTCCAACTGCAGTGAAGGTCGAGGGCATCGACAGATGGGTGCACTGCAGCCACTGTAAAAAGGTTCCTGCTCCAACATCCCCAACGACTCCCATCACGACCGCCGCTTCTACATGAACTGGGTACCGGTCAATCAGTGGAATCAGAAGCAGTTACAGAACTCTGGAGTATTAGTATACTGTTACAAATATTGTATTAATATTATTTTTTTTAGAGTTGTTAGTAGCTGGTAGTGTTTATAATGTATGTATGGCTATGGGCGTTAACCTGGACCTCTGCCCTGGGGGGTTGGGATAAAAATACGTTTCTACAATTAGCCCAAAATTTAACCAACGCATGGAATGTTAGTGACTGTTGGGTGTGTTCCCACTTCTCTTCCCATTCACTGCAAGGGTTCCCCATTTTGCCAGTTCCAGCGCTCCTCAATTCTTGGCAAAATGGTTTGGCGTGGTACGGCCAAAAGGGAAAAAGGGGAAGGGGACCCATAGATTTTAGGACCTGGATCCCGAACCATCGCCCAGACTTGCTCGTTAAGGCCCCCTTGTGCGTAGAAAAAAGGTCGCTACGCACCCGAGGCAAAACTACTCTGGGAAAATACCCGAAAACCCACTGTGAGAAAATTCTAATTTTGGGAAACAATGCAAGTACTACTCTTTTGCTGTATCCCAATGGTACTGAGGTAGCCAACTATGCCCGTGCTGGAGGCTATGTGGGGTACATTCTCAGAGAAAATGTGACTCAATTTGCCGGCCTTACATTATGGAAATGGGGGGAATAGGACCCAATCCTGATGATGCTGCATCCCTGGTGGGACGATTGCAGGAAGTATCTCAGAACTCAGGGGGCAATAAAGGCAACTATAGTATAGTATTAGGAGATCATCACTTATGGTGGGTATGTGGCACTTGGGCAGGAAAGACCTTGCCCCCAAAGTGGTTGGGAAGATGCACGGTGGCCTTTGCCTGGCCAGGAGGGATGCATCGTAGAGACTTAATAGAAATCAGAGACACAACCCGACGAACCCGTCGAGATACCAGTTATAATCCTATTGTCGAGGAAGGCAGTACAGGTATGCGCGCCTTCCGTATTCTTTTTTCCGTGGGTGGGGGTGGGCCAACTTGAATACGCGCTAAAAAATATGTCAGCCGAAATGGAAATATTTACTAACGCCACTCGAGATGCAATCCAAGCTTTGCAAGAAGAAATAAGCTCACTAGCTCGCTACAGTATGCAAAACAGGTTGGCCCTGGATCAGCTTTTAAGTGCACAGGGAGGGGTGTGCACATTTCTCAATGCCACATGCTGCCTTTATGTAAATCAAAGCGGACGCATAGTCACAGATACTAACATAATTGCAAACGTGTCAGCCTTCTTCCATAAGCAGGCCTCTATTTCTCCCAGTGTGGGCTTTGACTTGTGGGGCTGGCTCACCAGCTGGTTGCCTAACTTTGGATGGCTAAAAACCTTGTTTGTGTATGGAGTGGGATTCCTTATAATTGTGGGTCTGCTGTTCTGCTGTGCGTCCAGTTGTTGTGCCCTCTTCCACCGGGTATGTACCAAAACCATGAGCCCAGCAAAGATACTATATGTAAAGAAGGGTGGTGTTAACCAAGATGAAAAACATATGAACATGTTAAACAATAAATAATGAGCCATGTAAGATAATTATCTTCAGGCTCAAAGGGGGGGAACTGATAGGGAAAAAACCCAGAAAACGACCCTATAATCATGTAAAGCTACGCTGCTGTCTTTTTTCTATGCTTATCTGTCCTTTCTACTTTGTGTATGGATAGAAAGAATGTGAACTGTGTGTAACCTGCACTCCCTGCTTTTGGGAAGAGAATTCCTTATACAGATAAGCCTCCATGCTCGTACCTACCCCCAGAACTTCAAACAGACTGGGTTAACCGGTTCGAACTGGAAGAGATATCACAATGTATGTTGAAGCAAGCTATAAAAGCTCATCCCTGTTCTTTGTTCGGGGCTTCACCATTTTCCTCTGAAAAGGAATTGGTGAGCCCTTCAGCTGTCGTATTTGCTAGCAATAAAGTGCCTCACTTTATCAAAGAGCCAAGACTCTGTGTTTTGTTTGGCTAATACAGAAGTCCAGGGAAGGCTACCCTCCTAACCCTAGACGGGAGGGGAACCCTTTTTCCCTAACAAACTGGTTGAGAATTTGAAAGTGGAAGGAAGCTTGGGTGAATGTGATCATGAAATGACAGAATTCATGATTCTAAAGAATGGTAGGAGGGAAAACAACACAATAAAATAATGGATTTCAAGAAGGCAGACTTTAGCAGCTCCCTGAGTTTACTAAGGTAAGATCCCATGGGAAGCAAGTCTAAGGGGAAAAACAGTTCCGGAGAGTTGAAAAGTTCTCAAGGAGACATTATCAAGAGCACAAGTGCAAATTATCCCACTGCACAGGAAAGAAATGAAGGATGGCAAGAGACCACACTGGCTTAACCAGGAGATCTTCAATGATCTAAAAATCAAAAGAGTGTCCTACACAAAGTGGAAGCTAGATCAAACTACAAAGGAAAACTGTAAACAAATAACACAAGTATGTAGGGGGAAAAGTGGAAAGGCCAAGGTGCAAAACGAGATCAAACTAGCTAGAGACATAAAGGGTAACAAGAAAACATTCTACAAATACACTAGAAGCAAGAGGAAGACCAAGGACAAGGTAGGCCCATTAGTCAATGAGGAAGGAAAGACAATAACAGAATATGAGAAAATGGGAAAAGGGCTAAATGACTTTTTTGTTTCAGTTTTCACCCAAACGTTTCATAGTGACTGGATGTCTAACATAGTGAACACCAGTGAAATTGAGGTAGAATCTCAGGCTAAAATAGGGAAAGAACAAGTTAAAAATTATTTAGACAAGTTAGAGGTCTTCAAGTCACCAAGGCCTGATGAAAAGTATCCTAGAATAGTCAAGGAACTGACAGAGGAGATATCTGAGTCAATAGCTCTGAAAAGTCATGGAAGATGGGAGAGAGGACTGGAAGAGGTGGTTAAGCACTGGAATAAATTGCCTAGAGAGGTTGTGGAATCTCCCTCATTGGAGGGTTTTAAGAGCAGGTTACTCAGGGATGGTCTAGATAATACCTAGTCCTGCCATGAGTGCAGGGAACAGGACGAGGTGTCCTCTTGAGGTCCCTTCCAGTCCTACGATTCTATGGTACTAGAGCAATAGTTGGAGATTTCCCTAAAATCCTCAGTGTAGACAAGGCCTATGAGTGGGAGCGAGGATCTCCTGTCAGTGCTTCCAGGCTAAAATCCACAAGCAAATACTGATGGCTGATCAGAGATGGCCACTTGAAAAGAGGCGATGGGTCTCTTGTCACTTACCCTGAGCTACAGCATAGCCGTCTCCCTTCTTCCCTGCAGAGAGAAGGCAAATTTCAGTGAATGCAGCTCCCAAGGCAGGAACCGACTCCGATCTGTGTCCACAGCTCAGAAACCAGGCCCCTGGCCCAGCACAGCCCCCTGGCGCTCAGTAATGGACTCAAGGTCCCAGGCGCTCATGATGGGCTGGAGAGAAAGACACAAAGAGACAGAGTTCCAAAGATCTCTGCCCACTGGGTGCTGAGCTCTATGGAAAACCTAGCCCCATCTAAACTGTAACCCACACCCAGTTTCTGGGTCTGGCCTTCCAGCAGCTCCCATTGGGGGTCATTAGCTCAGTCCCGCAATGGGGCAGTTACACCATACTGACACAGGCTCCTGTACTGCTGTTGCCCTTAGGCGGGTGTGCAGGGCCCGGCAAGTCCAGAGAATCCCCCCATCCCAGGCTCTTTACCTGGGCGTTTCTTTTTCCAGACGACTACTCCGATTATTACACCAACCAGGACAACTGCAGTGATAACTCCAGCCACAGTGGGAATCAGATTATTTGGTTCTGAAATGGAATGGAAAGAATGATCAATGGGGAAAAATCCCCCTCCCCCCACCTCTAAAATCCCCCTTTCATCCCACTGCAGGGATCCGTCAGTCAGCTCCCCAAGTTAGGGCTGAGTCCTGCAACCCTCCACCCCTTCCACTGCAGCCACCATGCATTGCACCCCACCATAGGAAGTCCTGGACACAGTCTCTACCACTTCAAGTCATAATAAATATTTAGCACTTAAACTCGAAGACTTTTATAACATTAACCAATCCTCAGAACTGTGGGAGAGCATGGATGTCAGTATCATCCCTACACGGGAAAGGGGGGAGACTTGCTGAAGATCACACAGTGAGGCAGTGCAAGGCCAGGAATAGACCCCAGGAATCCTGGCTCTCAGCCCCTCCTGCTTTAACCCACTAACCCCAACTCCCCTTCCAGAGACAGAACCCAGGAGTCCTAGCTCCCAGCCCCTAACCCCCCTTGACCATGCTGACTTTCATGACTAATGGAACAGTCCCACTGTGGGAATCTGGTGCCAAACTGGAAACTGACTTCAAATCTCTGGATTTCCCTGCCATGAATGGAGTTACAGACACAATGCGTGTTTTTTGAGGGGGCAGGAAGTGAAGAGGGGAAGACAGAAATATTAATACTGTTTTTGGTTTATATAAACCTGTTAAACCCCGTGTTCTGTACACACTTTCAGTTTCATGAATCAGCTTCTCCTGTTGTCTGAAAGAGCCACATGATAATACAGCAAGAAGAAAAATATTTCGAAGAGAATAAGGAAATGTGGGCTATGACACAAAAATTGGCAGGGGACGTGGTAGCAGGATCGTGATGTGAAACCGTCTGCTGACGAGAGTCCCGGTACACGTTGCCCTCTCAGAAATCGTTTGCACTTCCAAATGCTGCATTTTTCCACATCCCATTTAACCAAGCAAAAAGATGGCTGGAAGGCAGCTCCATAGGTAATAAATTATTCCTAGACTTTCTTGTGCTCGGGGCATAGGAGTCTCTCCCCCGTGATGCAGGGCTCTAATCTGCCTCCTCGCTCCATTCCAAGGCCATACCTCCCTTCCAGCACCACTGCGCACAGAAACAAGCTGCTCCCAACATTAAACCTCTCTCTCTGGCCACATGGGCAAGAATGAAGGGCCCGTAGAGCCGTGTTTCCGAGAACCTGCTGAACCATAGGACTGGAAGGGACCTCGAGAGGTCGTCTAGTCCCGACCCCTGCACTCACTGCAGGACCATGAGTGCATGAAGTTGAGCGGGCTGCAAGCTGAAGCAAGACCAATTCTGACTGGAAATAAGGGGCAGATTTGATCTTCCCCTGGGATGTGGTAAATTCTCCATCCCCTGGAGACTTTACATCTGGAATGGGCATCTCTTTCTGAAGGATCAGGTCTAGTTTGCTCACAGATGACCAGACTGGATGCCGGGGTCCCTGGTGTGAATCCCCCCTGCCCTGGGTTGTGCAGGAGCTCAGATCAGATGATTAGAATGGTCCCTTCAGGCCTTAATGTCCGATTACTAATCTTCTCCCTTCAGAGACACTGTATTCCTGAGATATATCCAACAGTCCCAAAGGCAGTAAATCGGAGAGCAAGACATGAGTCCCAGGCACTGTGGGTCCCAACTCTAGCACAAGAACTTAACTGCAGAGGGACAGGGCCAAAAGGACCCTGAGGAAATTCCAGCTTCAGCCTAGAAATTTGAATGAGAATTTTTCAGCGGTTGAGTTTAATGGATTCCCCCTCTCCCACTAGGAAAAACAGACAAACACACAAACTCCTCACCCCAGGAGACGGAGAGTGGCTCTAACAGGCTTTCATGCTCCACGTGACATGAATAATGGGCTTTGATCTTGGGATCAATCTCCATTCTCACCCAGGTCTGGTAGGTCCCGTCCCCACTGGGTAGGATGCCTTCAGAGTAGGTCTCCTGCTGTCTGCTCTCCCCATTTCTCAGCCAGGTCACGGTGATGTCCCGGGGTAGAACCCACTGACCTTACAGGAGAGGGTGGTGAGGCCGTCATGAGATGACCTGTCACTCACTCTAGCTGTTGGGCGCACTGGGAAAAAGAAGAAACTGATGTTAGTTGTTTTCAAGCTCTAATCCAGGCAGCCTTTGCTGGAGCTTTGCAGCATGAAATTCTGAGACCCCAGGAGTGGGAGAGGATGAGAGTCCATGAGACGGAATCCCTCTGATGAGAGAGAACCACCATGTTAGAGAATTCCTGTGCTGAATTCCCAGCATCAGCAACGGTGAATCCTGAGTCCAGGTCCCTGAACTGGCTTCCGCTCCCAACTACAGTGACACAAGTACCTTGAAAGGCTTCACTAAACTCCAGATACGGATGTGAATCATGTGCCAGGTTTGTACCCATCTCCTTTCCATCCCTGGATTTGAAAGAGACAAAAATCTTGCCCTGGCCAGGGAGCAAAAAATGGACTGGATAAACTGACCAATTAAAGATGGAAAGTGACACACAGTGCTAAATTGCCCCTCAAACTAGCTAATATTAATTGGCTAATTTCTTATAGGTTGTTACCAAATCTATTTACCCCAATATTATGGATTTCAAAAGGATTTACCCTTATGTTCCCTTGGCACTGAAATACACATTACACTGCTGTGTGTGGCTTTTTCTTCTTGGCATTTGTAAAGATGTCAAAAAGGACAAGACAATGTTCTGCTGAGGGTTGTGAGAGAAATAAGCAACTAGTATAATTGTTGCAAAAAACTGGGTCCAAATTTCAAGTAACCTTGAACAGCAAGTGCAAACTGTTCGGGAACGGAAAGGGTGTGTAATGATGCTAACTAATTTGGGAAATGTGTGTCCACAATAACAGACAAGGTACGTACATGGGTAATAGGGAGTTAACATTTTGAAGCAGACTACGCTGCAACTGTCCTCCTGAGTCGGAGTGGTAAAGCATTTATCCTCTTCCCCTCTATGTTTGTGCTGATTAATCTTTAACTAAAAAGCTTTGGTAATAAATGTGACTGATTGTGATTATCTGATGTCTTATTGATAAAAGAATCAAGTAAGTAAGTATGAAAGTGTTGCAGCAAAGGTAGGTCTGGAAAGGGAAAGCTTTAAGGACAAGGGGAGCCTTCTTCCAGATTAGTATGGGGAGGGCAATTCCACATGGAGGGGATGGCATGGAAGGAAGCACATAGATGTCTGTGGGAAAAGTTTGGACAAAGAGGCAACAAGGACAAAACGACCATCATTGGTGGAACACGGGCTGGGGGGTCACACAACAAATATGATGGTGCAGAGAGCGAACGAGGAAGAATTACATGGTGAATGAAGCTGGTGTCCACAGAAGTGGTGGCACTTCCATAATTAATCAAAGTGCTCTAACATGCACACACACAGGTATATTGCCTTGATAACTACTGTGTCACACCAGGGGAAGAGCTAGAATTTGTGCTGTAAATTTGGGCTCATTTGGTCAAGTGACTCTGGAGATACAGCTTCTCTACAGTGAGCTGCTTTTAACATTTTTAATTTCTTCTCTTCTTTTCCAGCAGAGCTCAGGGAGAAGGGGTTGTTTTCCCACCCACCCCTGGTGCAAGGTTCGCTGAACTGCCCCCTACCCCCTGCTCCATTTTGGAGCTGGGGATGGGGAATGGAGATGTAACTTGTAGTGACCTCCTGGGTGGGGCTTGTCCCCCATCTTACCTTTCCTCTGTAGAGTCTCCTTCCCGTACTCTAGAGAATTCCTTAGCCAGGGAATACACTCCTCCTCCAGGTAGTGTTTCCACCGCTGGTTGTCAAATACTTCAACATCCCATCTCCTTTTGGTGATCTGAGCCCCAATATCTGCTGATACCCAAGTCACGGTCTCCTTATCGAAGGTAAGAAAGTCGCGTCCGTCATATGAATCCTGGTAAAAACCCCCAAGTGGTGTTGTCTTCCCGGAGATCACAGCCGTATATCGTCTGGATAATGTGAAACCCTGAAACACAGCTGAGGGTCAGCAGCAGCCTCTCTCTGAAAATCTTACCAGGACCCCACTGCAGGTAGCCCAGTGGGTCCTCCCTGAGAAATGGGGTTCCCACTTATGCTGCTGGGTCGTAACCCTCTCAGCTCCTTTCAGGAGGGAACCCAAACCCGCAGGGGGCCCACACTCCATCTGTTGGGTCTTTGTACACTAAAGACCATCCACTACAGAGAGTTCACAACTTTCAAGGAGTACCTCATTGCTGCTTGTTCTTGTACACTCCCTCCTGCAGGGGGTGCAGGGTGGCCTGACCCCAAAGGGAGTACTCCAGATATTGCAGGTGTCTATCCCCCTGCAGCTCTCTTCTGCTCTCTGAGGATTCCCTCAGTTCTGGTAGTGAGGATCATTCTGGAGAAGAGAGAGTGTGCAGGGTGTCTGTACCCCCCCCTCCTCCCCTCTGCTCTGGTTGTATTAATTTTGCAGGATCCTCAGGGTCACTTGGTCCCCCACCTCCTCCATTCACAGTAACCCCATGTCCCTGTGGGGAGGGGGTACAGGAGGTCTGTCCCCCACACTAAGCTCTGCTCTGGTTTAATGACCTCACAGAATCCCCAGGGTCCCTCTGTTTCCCTGCCCCATCTTCCCCCATGCCCCCAACTCAATCTAGGAACGGCAAAGCACCAACTTCGGATGCTTGGCCTCTTTTTCACACGGCCACTGTCTCCAGGTGATTCCCATTGCGGCCCTTAGTTCAGCTGGCCACCATTTTCCCACAGCCAGGCTAATCTTCACAAGAGCAGCCACCATCTCGCACACAACCAAGAGCAGACTCAGTTAATACAGCCACCCCTGGGCTGATAGGAGGCAGGGAGGGAGATGTGGACAGGAAGGAGAGTCTAGGGGAGAGGGAGGGAGGCTGTGGGGAACAGAGAACACTGTGGGGATCACAAGGAAGACTGAAACACATAGGGAATGGATCAGACCCCTCGCTCGGCAAACAGGGCAGAATGTGGGGGCACAAAAATACCCCACACAGGGTCCCAAATATTTTCACTCCTCCCTCACCCTGCATTAGATACATCGAGGTAAACGCCTTAGATTTTCAACAATCATTAGTGATTTTGGGTGCCCAGCTGAGACCTTTTAAAGGGGCCTGATCAGAAAGTGGGAGCACCTGGCCGCTGAATATCAGACACCCAAAAAATCACTAATCGCTTTTGGAAAAACGTCGGCCAAGGGATTAAAATACAATTTGGGGTCACAGCCACAGGTGAGAGCCAAGCCTACTAAGCTGTGTCCCTGAACTATGCCCCAGGTTTGGATAAAAACCAGTTACTAACCTTCCTGTAACGGTTGTTCTCAGAGATGTGTTGCACACGTCCATTCCACGCTAGGTGTGCGTGCCCCGCACACAGTCGCTGGAAATTTTTCCCTCAGTGATACCCCTCAGGCCGGCTCTTGCACACTCTAGTACCATGTGCTCATATCACAGTGTGAAGGGACCCGTTTACTCTGCACCTTCTCAGTTCCTTCTTGCCAGTGTGACAAAATTCCTCCTCTACCTTGGTGGGTCTTGCACTTATTGGCGGATTTGCTCACCTTGGAGCTTCACAGCAGCCCGCAGTTTGGCCGTTTTCATGAACCCACAGTTCAGGTTGACTCCTCCTGTGTCTGACCAGGAGTTGGGAGGTTTGGGGGGAACCCGGGCCCGCCCTCTACTCCGGGTTCCAGCCCAGGGCCCTGTGGGATGCAGCTGTCTAGAGTGCCTCCTGGAACAGCTGTGCGACAGCTGCAACTCCCTGGGCTACTTCCCCATGGCCTCCCTCCCAACACCTTCTTTATCCTCACCGCAGGACCTTCCTCCCCTGCTGTCTGACAATGCTTGTACACCTCAGTCCTCCAACAGTCCGCATTCTCACTCTCAGCGCCTGTTGCCTCTTGCTCCCAGCTCCTCACACGCACACCACAACTGAAGTGAGCTCCTTTTTAAACCCAGGTGCCCTGATTAGCCTGCCTTAATTGATTCTAGCAGCTTCTTGATTAGAAGACATGGGTTGCAGCCATGCAGACAGCAGAACTGCTGACATTTCCTGCTCTGTCTGGTTGTGAACAGTTCTACAAGTGGAGTACCCCACCACTGGAAACTGGCCCGTGCTATGTCGGGGCATAGGGACCATTCGCAGTGAGAAGAGCTGATCTGCCAGCTCGCTCTGGGCTCCCAAAAGGTGAGAAGCTTCAAGCTGGATTGAGCGCTTTATGCAGAACTCCCACAGGCAAATGGCCTCCTGACACAGGGGGGAGAAGAGTGGGCCGTCTCTGCCTGTTGATGTAAAACATGGCTGCCATATTCTCTGTAAGAACTCGCACCACCTTGCTTGCGATGGGGGATAAGAACACCTGACGTGCTAGGGCGGACCGCCCTGGAGCTCTCTGATGTTCATCCGTAGCAAGAGTTCCTGCTGGAACCACTGACCTTTGTGTCCTGAGGTGCCTGAGATGGGCCCCCCAACCGAGCATGGATGCATCCAAGATTAGAGATACTGAGGGTTGGGGCCTGACGAAGGGAACGCCCAAGGCTACCAACCAGGATCTGTCCACTAGTCGAGGGGGACGAGGACTAGGACAGGCACTGTGAGCACCGAGTCCAGTATACTGAGGCCAGCCAAGCCTGAAAGGTTCTGAGGTGCAACCTCGCATACCACACCACATATATGCACGCGGCCATGTGACCCAACACCCTAAGTGGGCCTTGACCCGTGATGACATTGACTAGAAGTGGGCTTCTGGGAGGGGAAGGCTCCTGGCGTGGGTAGAATCGAGCACCACTCTGATAAACTCTTTAAAAAGGGAAGAAGGAGGATCCTGGGAACTACAACCCAGTAAGCCTCACTTCAGTCCCCAGAAAATCATGGAGCAGGTCCTCAAGAATCAATCCTGAAGCACTTACATGAGAGGAAAGTGATCAGGAACAGTCAGCATGGATTCACCAAGGGGAAGGTCACGCCTGACTAATCTAATCGCCTTCTATGATGAGATTACTGGTTCTGTGGATGAAGGGAAAGCAGTGG